GCTCGTGCGGAAGAGACGGCAGCCACGTAGCCGGGGAGGCTGGCGGCGCTGAGCGAGGGGGCAGCTGTGCCGGCCGCCCCCAGCGCAAACGAAACGGCCCGGCTCCAAAGCAGGAAGGGGAGAACTTGTGGCAGGAGGCAGCGGGAAAGCTAGTATTTCCCTCGCTGAGTGGCAAATAAGCAGTGATCTACAGCGATGTGATTCAAGCAGAAAGACTGGTCTTCTGTAGCCAAAGGCTCATTGGCACGGAAGTCGGTCTAGCGTGGGAGGGTGTAAATGTCCAATACTGCGCTGATTAATGTTTTCTGGTAGTGTCAGCGGGTCCCTTGCACCTCGGCACTTTGTCAGCAGCTCGGATGTAGCTGTGCGCGCTGGTATTTTGGGTGCTGGGCCCAAAACTGGAGAAGGCCACGTGCCAGCCATGACCAGCCCTGCAGGGGAGAGATGACAGCACGCGTGTAGCCAGGTGTGGGGTTTGTGGCCCTAGAGCCAAGCATGGTCCTTCTCCGCTGCCCTGTCTGAGTAGGGGAAACCAGCGTGATGCTGTAAAACGCTGGTGGTCACAGCCCGGCCTTGCGGATGGGGCCTGCCAGCTCCCCGGGGCTCCGCGCTTTGGTGCGCCGTGGTCTCGGGAGCGACGGCAAGGCTGCACCTTGGCTGCGCTCACAGGAGGATGCTGAAGGCGCCCTGGCAGCGACGCTCCCTGCTCGCGGGCTCGCAGCAGCTCCCTGCGCCGTGCCCAGGTTCACCCGCTTTGGTCCGGCGGCTGCGTCGTGCCCGGGGTCGGGGTTGCTGCAATCGTTTACTCCGAGACTGGCCAGGAGTTCCCCCGAATGGCGCGCGTGTGAACTAAAGCATCTCTCCCAGAAAACACAGCCACTGTTGACTCCAAAATTGGCAGTGCTGGCGACTCCACCGCAGCCCTTGCCGGGCTGCTCCCGGGTTTATCCCCCCGTGCTGTTTAAAACACCTGCCTTATTTCTGATCTAAGCTCGCCAAGGCGACTTGCTCTGCACGTGGCAGGTAGCCGGCGTATTTGGGAGCAACGTGGGGGCAGGTGGGGCTGAGTTCAGCTCTGAGTCAGGGACGTGATTTGCACCGAGTGACTTGTGTTCAGCTGCCGCCTTCTCGCCTGAGTTGCCCGGAGCTAGTCTTGCTCCGAGGGAGGTGACTCCGCCAGCGCTCCAATTACAGCTGTGAAATTACTGCAGGAGCAACTTTGTTGTACAATTGAAGGGTTTAAATGGGGCAAATCATGTGGGAGAGGTAATACCTTTCATTAGACGGAGAAAACAAATTAGCTTTCAGGTACACAAGCCCTTCTTAACGTTACTGTGACGGTTATTATCCCGTATTGGTGCTATTAGAAATGAGGACGTTGCATTAGAGGGAAGCACGTTCTGCAAGTGTTTCGACCTGCTGGTAACTGCTCTCTGCTGACAAGTATTTGTTTAATGACATGTTGGAGCGAAAGCCAGCAGCAAGGACGAGCGCGGAGGGGGCTGGGAGTGCTGAGCGCTGACTTGCGCTGGGCCACCTTGCGTGCGCGGCGCAGCCCTCCGGGAGCTGCTCCTGGCCGGGTGCCCACCCATGAGGCGGGGGACAAGCACCTGGCCGAGATTTGTCCCATCGTGGTTTGTAAGGACACTCCAAAATCCTCTCATCTCCAATTCAAACAGGGTCCTGACCAAAGGATATTCCTAGACTGAGCCTCAGGTGCCCTCCCTGCTCCCCAGGCCAGGAGAGCTGCCCTGATGTGTTTGCAAAGGGTCAGGAGGTCTTGCTGCTCCTGCCCGCGCTGGAGGCAGAAGTGTCTGTGAGGCTCCCAGGGGTGCAATCGCAATGGTCGTGTTGTCAGGGTCATGTGCTGCCTGTGGTGGGCGGTAGAGCCAGTTTTTCTGCTCCAAAAGTGGGACTGGGGAGGAGACGGCAACACTCAAATACCCAGAACCGCGGGCAGCTGCCGGCAAGGCACCGAGGAGGCCACCTGCCCTTTCCTGCTCCAGGTAAGGCGCTTTCCTGCCTCCCTCACGTCGCTGCGGGGATTTACAGCCTCACTTATCAACTTTATGGGCTGGTGGGGCAGAGCGGAAAAGCGGGCAGAGCGCGGCGAGCGATAGGGTCGCCTCCCGGGACAGCTCTTGCTTCGCGCCTGTGCCGGATGGAGACCTCTTCGTTGGGAAGGACGTCAGGAGCGCGAGCCAGTCCTCCCCAGCGAGGCGGGAGCAGCACCAGCCTCCTGGCTCTAAGCCCGTTGTGCCCAGGGGAAATAAGGATATCTGTCCTATCGTGTTCGGTTAGGTCACAAACATGCAAATCTGTTTTGTTAGCCAGCATCCATCCCATGCGCGCTTGCTCAGCCTCAAAGGACACCTGCAGCTCCTCAGCGAGGACCGCAGGGCTGCTGGCTGCGTTCTGCTGGTTTGTCCTCCTGAGCTCTAGCAACCCGCTCGCCGGGGCAGGGACACCAGCCTGCCCGCAGCGCCTTCCTGGCCGACGGGATGACTGAGGCTCGGGAAGAGGAACAGGCGAAACGGGATCTGCCAGGCTGGGTTTGGAAACGCGCTGAGCGTCCGCAGTGTTCGTCTCGGCCAGCGCCCAAAGCGGGCGCTGCGAGCGGTGCGCTGGGTCGTGTCCTTGCGGGTGGCAATGCCTGCCACCGGGACACGGGAATCGATGCCCTTTCTTGGAAATCTGCTGAGTTGGTTCCTGGGGACAAAGTTACCAGCGGGGGTGGGAAATTAAAGGGTTGCAACCCACTCGGTGGCATTTCTTAACCTGTGCTGGGGCAGCGTTGCCCCCTGCTAGGCCGGGCTGCTGCAGCTTTGCTCGGGTCGCCTGTCTCCCAGGGGCGAGGTTGGTCCGTGTCCGTACGCTGGGTAGGTTTGCGCCTTTCTACCTGCTCACCTCCAGGCAGCAAAGGCATAAATCAGGGCATCTCCCACAGATGTGGGGCTGGGCACGCGTCACGGGAGCTGCAGAGGAGCTTTGGCACGCAGGACCCAGGGCCGGAGACTCAGCTGCACCTTCTAGTGCACCTTCCCACGGGCTGCCTTTTC